AGAGCTCCCAGCTGCAGGACCGTGAAGCCCCCAGTACAGCAACAGGCACCTAGAGGTGGTCCATAAGTAGCACTTTCCTTCCTTCCTCTCTGCCTTCTCTTATGGAAACCACAAGGAAAGCCTCCTGTCCCGCCAGGGGTGGGAACAATGGGCAGACTGGGAAGGTCAGGGTGGACATGGACACCAGGACCCAGTGTGAGCTGAGAGGTCAGACCCTGGGCACGCCTGTGGGAGAACCGAACCTAGCAGGGGTAACAAAGAAGGGCCACACCTCTTCTACCCAAACTCCTTCCCCTAGAGCACTGATAATCCAGGCAGGAATAGGGGGCAGTAAGAGGGAGGCTGAGGAGGAATATGGGGTCTTCCTCAGATGGAAACTCTAGGGTTCACAGCTATTCTCGGAGGGACCCAGTGCCCAGCAGACAGGCATGTGGGCACACACGCATGTGCACATACACTCATACACACACAGACACAGGAACATGGAGACTAGGATGTATACACATGCAACCACTCACTCCCAGACACAGAAACTGAACACAAATTCTGATCCAGGGGATCCTTTCTCCAAGCCAGACAGCTACGGTGGCAGACAGGGTTTGAAAGGGATATAGAAGCAAAAAGAAGAAGCCTGGTCTGCACCTGAAATTCCCCAACATTGCTACTCCCAGGGCAGCCCACACTCACCTCCCCAGAGCAGCTGGGAGCCAAGTGGAGGGCTGCTGCCCCAGTCTGGCCAGAGGTGCCATCTCACTCATCTTGATAACACCATTCCTCTGATTCTCCCACTGTGCCAGGCCCCACCATACCTCTCCAAGCTCACCAATATCCTGGCCCATGACCCCCTTACATTCTCCACCCCCTGACATACACCAAGAAGACACGAGAGGCCAAAAGAAGAGACCAGGCTGAGGAAGGGGCTCCTGTGGCAGAAGCTACCCTTTGAAGAAGAGTGTACTGTACTCAGGAGCTCAGACAGCCTGTAGTGTAGCACAAAGGAAAAACCTCAGAGCTGGGACTTAGGAGATCTGGGTTAAAGTTCTATCACAGACCAGTTAGATGACCTTGGGCTTGTCATCTTCTACTGAGGCCTCCATTCCAAGATGAAACCTGCAACCCTAGTCTTGCCTACCTTGGAGGAACGAGACCATGGATGAGTGAGCTTTGAGAAGTAGAAAGCACCCTGTAATGGCAGAGGGGTATGCATCACCTTATGTTGGGCACCTGTGAGTGGAATTTTTAGACCTCCTTACAAGAAAAGGGGCTACAGAGGTTCTCAGGAGGGAAGAACAGGTCTGCAAGCTCCCCACTGGGAGGTACTGGCTATTTGATCCAACCTGCTGCCCCACCCCAACCCCCAGTCCTCCTGGTCATTTTAGCAACTGAGAAGCTGGCTTTAGTGTCACTAGCTCTCCCAGCCTCCCTCCAAATTAGGTGCCAGGTAGCAACTCCACTTCCTCTGGCCAAATGGCATCATGTAGAACTGTTTTGAAGATAAGCCCAGAGAGGGCTGCCAGGCAGATGCCCCTGATATGACTGTCCAGGGCCTTCTGCCCCTACCTGCACCTGCTGTACAAACACAGTGAGCAGAAGGGAGCCCTAGGAGAGCTGCACTGAGATGCCTGGCTCCTTCTGGCGCCTTCCGGCTCCTTCCAGCTCCAGGGCCATCTTTAAATAGAGCAATTATCATCTCAGCCTAACAGAAGCCTCCTCAACTCCTGCACAATTTCTAAGTAACACTCACAGGTCCTGATTCAGAGACAAAAGCTGCCAGTCCCCAAAGCAAGCATTTGCAAGGGGGTTTGCCAGGGAGGCATGTGGGCTGACTGTGAAACGGTGGAAGAGGGCTCAAGAGCGAGTGGGTGTGTGCGTGTGTGGAGGGAGGCTTGGACAGAAAGTAGGCCTCTGGCCTTCACAAACACAGAAGAGATGAACTCAGAGGCCTCTTTGGCTTCCCAAGTCACCCCCATCTTTTCCTACCAAACAGGACAGACGGATGGGTACCTGAGTCTGAAGCTCTGGCTCCTTCCTACCCTGCCAGATGGCAGCCCCCACCACAGTGAGAGCTCAGCACGGGCAGGACTGCCAGCCCCTATGGAGGCCACAGGCTGGGGCAAAGCTGCTAGGAGCTGAGCTCAAGTCTGAGCAGGCCATGAGCCTCAGGGTGGGAGATGCTTCAGGTGAAAGAGGAGGGTCACACACCCACTGATTGGAGGAAGGGTGAAGGTCGGAGGAAACAAGGAGGAAGGCAGTCATCCAAGAAAATGATTGTTATGACTTATTCACTTTTCACCACGTGCTGGGCACTGTGTCATCAATTGACATGTATTAACTTATTTTAATCCTCACAATTCCTTGTGAGGAAAATTCTTCCCATTTCACAGATATGAGAACTAAGACTCAATGTCATGTAACCAAGTCTATACAGCTAGTAAAAGGAAGACCTGGGATTCAATTAGTCTATCTGACTCCAAATAGGGGTAGAGGATGGAGAAAAGGGAGAGTGAAGATGTCTCCTTCAGATATCATGTCTCCTCCAAGCCTCTGGTACCTTCACCAGGGTGATGGCAGCCTGAGGACAGCTTACCTCGGCCCTTCCTCCACCTCTCCTCCTTATTTCTTGGGGAGGCCTCTGTAGCACAACCATCATGGTCCTGAGGCAGCCACTTCCCCACAGGAAGGCTTCATCCACCAAACATCCAAATCTCTTCCCCTACCCACCAGCCAACTCCATCCCAAGCTCCCCACCCCATCCCACATTCCTGAGCCATAGCTCCCCTCATCCTGTGGGGTCTTCAGATACTATTCCCCTTGTGGGACTGAAATCCTCAGGCTGCCCACTTCCCCGTCCCTCTCACCCAGAAGCTTCTCCTTCTCTCCTGTCCAGCTCAGCAGCCCAAGAAGCCTGGCCGTCACTCATCCTCTCCTCCAAAAGTCCAATGCCACCTCCTAGCCTGCTTTGCCCAAGCCCTGTCCACTGGCCTGTTCCCAGGGCCACCTATCACTCACATTCTTCAGCCTATTGTCTTCCTTTCCATTTCAGTCTAACGAACTAAGATCACCCTTCGAAGCTCATCTCAAATGCTGCTTCCTCCATGTAGCCTCTTCTGATCCCCCGCAGTGGGTAAGATCTGCCCTCCTGCTGACCTAGCATGGCTCTTTATTTATACCTCTCTCTATGGACTTTCTTACTTCCTGTCATCTCATCTGTATACTCTTAGGTACATCCTCGTTATCTTTGGGCACTCTAACACAGGGTCCTGCCACACAGGGAATGAATGCATTTGTGTGACAGTATTT